AACACTCCAAATATACTGCAGAACATGCATTCACATTAAGAGTTGAATCCTTCAGCACCAGAATTTTTACATGCTCTACTTTCTATGAAAGGTGTGCAAATGTACAGTAATAGTACTTGATTCATGTAATTAGAATAATATTATAATTAAAGACTCTCCTGTATGATTTCTTCTTGTAGGATCTGATTTAGTTTCTGTGTGGAACACTCTTTTCGTTTCAGTGGGCTGCACAACAGATCCACAGTGTTTCAGATCTGTGGAGCTCAAAAAATAGGTTTTTGACAGGAATAGGCATCAGTATTTTTCTTTCATAGCCCAAATAACAGAGAAAAAAAATGAGAAGGGTAGTGATTGCAAAAGAATACAGCATACTAGGACAGACTAATTGCTAAAACGAATAGTGTTTTTATCACTCCTCTCTCCCCTAACCTGCATGCATGCAGCTACGGTGATAAAGCCAGTTTTGGAAGTCTTGGAGCTCTGGCTAGCACTGGGTACCTGTGCTGAGGATCACAGACTTTGAACTAAAGGATCGGTATTCAGTCCTATTATCACCATATGGCTGAAACACACAGCTCACTTCTTAAAGATGTGAACATCATTACAAACAGGATGCTTTGTGACTGTGTTCCTTATTAGAATCACAGGCACAAAATCATACCGAGTATGTTTTCACTCACGCTGTGTCAAACTACCAGTGATTAACCATTAACACTACTGCAACTTGACTGATAGAAACAGATTTTAAAACTGATTAAAAAAGAAAAAAAAAATCATTTTTTCTGTAATGAAGATAAATTTATTATCAACCAAAAAGAGAAACTAGAAAGTCTTGCTGTAATGCAATTAAAACAAATCAAAACAAACAAACAAAAAATTTAAACAAAACAAAACAAGTAGATTGTAAATTTGTCTTTATGTCTATTTAGAGGACTAAGAAGGAAGCAAGAAACCCTCTTCTTTTTTTTCTTACAGGCTATGCTGGACACCTTTCAAACAGGTGGGAAAAGAGTACTACCACAAAGCCAGGAAGCATTTGTATCTTGCTCCTACTTTAAACCAGAAGCAAATCAATTCTGGTTAGAACAGAAAGAAAAAAAAAGAAAAATATTCTTCAGAACAGCCCTGAAGTCTTCTAGGGGAAGGCCGCATATGCTGCAGTTTCCACCCTGTTAGCTCCATTTAAGGCTCTACTTCACAGCCTGGGTTACCCACTGAAGATAGAAGTAATTTTATAAATTCCACGTCTACTTGCAGAGATCTTCTAAAATCATGGCTGCCCTGCATATATATGCTGAAGGGAATACTACAGTGCATAATAAAAGGATGCAATAAGAGAATACAACACAGCAATTCAATTCATCTTTAAGCACACACTTAACTTTCAGCATACAGGAGTAGCCTCAATTGTTTCAATGAGAGTGTTCCTGTAAACAGTGTCATGCAGAAATATTTCCAGAACCAAAGCCTTTACTCTGTGATGTGTCTGAACAGCTTCACCAAAGACGTCCAGTTTCCTCAACAGACGTAAATTGATGTTATCCCCTCCCAAGACATAAAAGCGTTAAAATGTTAAAGAATGAATTGCAGTTATTCCTATATTCCTTTGATATTTTGCTATAATGTTAATAATTCAATATGGTTTTCATTTAAATATTATTTGCTTGGCTTATGGCGATTCTTTCAGATTAAGTTCTTTTTCCTTCCTATATCTCAGATATTACCTTGTATCTGGTTTTTAACACTAGCTTGACCTAGGTCTGTTCTTGGCTTTATGACTTGTTAGCTCTTTCAAATATACTGTATATAGGGATAAAAACTTATGCTGTATTCTTTTTCAGTTTACTCAGTTTTGAACTGCTGAGAAAAGGCATTTTAAACTCATCAACACTTGCTACAAAACTGAACCACAAGTAACCTAAAGACAGACACACATTTGCCTTTTGATTGTTGATTGTGCTCTTAGTTAAATGTAACAAACCCCTAAATGCCTATGCCATTACCCAATTAAATCCATCAGTAAGCATTTATTATTGGAAACAAACAAATTTCATTTAAACATGTAACTACTGTTACATTATAGCTATACATTTTTTTATCATATACATGTTTTTCTGACAACAGGAACATTCAGAATTACTCCCTACAGTAATCAGTCCCACTAAGGGGAAAACATTGAGCTCTTCAATGGCTTTCATCACAGCAAACTTTTTTTTTTTTCATTAATCCATAATTTGTTAAACTGTTTAGCAGTCGTATTAAACAAAATATCAGTACTTTACCACTTTATAGCTATGGTCATGATCTAATTTGTTACAAATTTTGTTTGCTTGTTTGTTTTTGTGAAGATTTTCCCATTAAAATAATACATAAAGATGCAACATGTAATCCATTGGGAGGAAAAAAAAAATACGGAAGGTACCAGTACTTTTATGGCTGAAATAATTCCATTGCAGCAGACTATGAATTTCAGTTCTTGTTTACCACAATCCTACAGCCACTTTTTAAGCATTAGTTACACTGCACATTTTAAATATGGGTAATATGTGAAAAAGTGGGGACAGCAGTAAAGTTACAGACTTGTAATACATTGCATACAGGAACTTCTGAGTCTCTTACTTCAGAAGATTGCAATGTTAGCTATCAAACTGCCCATCAGTTGCAATTTACAGTCACAGATACAATTTTCATGTTCTGAATGTGGATTAATAAGAAAATAGTAACTCAGTGCACATTTACACACAAAATTATAAAAGCTTTGCTGGTTAACAACAAATCTAATTTTTGTCTCATTTAACTAATGGCATATGGAATTTGCTGCAAGGCATATGGTACTAATTAAACATGGTCCCCCAGATAGTCAATATAGCCATGAGAAACATTCAAGGAATTTCCCTTCAGTGTACATTATCTGTGTATTGATTTGATGGTCTGAATGCATAAAAGCCCTGGGAACTAACAATGTTTAATGATGTGGGAACTGCACTTCTATTCTTATCTATATGAATGCAGCAGTTGCTGAGGAAAAATTTAAAATACCTAATGAACAGGCAAATTATGAACTAACCAGGATGGGTCTATTTTCATTCATTCACTCATTAACCTCTGATTTTGGTATTTACTTTTAAATTTTGTTTTTACATTTAGAGCACTGTTCTGTTAACTTCATATGCCAGAAAGCATGTAGTTTAAGGTACCACTCTATTTTTTTAATAGAAGCAACACTCCATATATTTTAGTGACACTAACGAACACCTAAAATGTAAGTTGCACAGTGCTAATGATTTATTTTGAAAATTCTAATACACGTAATGTGTACAAATACACTTACATGTATTTGACAACAGCTACACTAATTAAAATATCTGTTCTACTATCAGTGTTAGATATGGGTTAATTATTAACTTTAAATGCAAGTCCACTTGTATATAGTTTTAATTCTCTTCTCAATTCGAGGGTATCAGCTTTCTCTAGCATACAGAAGGTCAACCATTGAAAAAATCAGAAAATTGATACTGTATTTGTTCTGCTTCATGATGACCACTTGAGGTAAAACAGCAGAAGTGAATTCTCACAGTCATTACCTGCCTACTTACAATACCCTAAACCATAATAAAAAACTAAATGATAAAATGGCAAATGACCCCTTGTTAACCAGAATATTTCCATTCAAAAGAACTTCGAGGTCTCAACACTACTATATCTAGCATCAGTGGGCTATTTTCATCTAGACACTTCTCAAACAGCAACAGAGCAGCAGTTTGTGTTTTGAAAGGTAGCACTGACTCTTTTGTAGCTCTGGTAAATTTCAGAGTAGTAAAAGACAGTACAATTTCAACAGTGCTCTGAATTGGTCAACTTATTCAATCTACCACCACCACTAACAGAAAGAAAAACTGCTTCCTAGTGCTCCAACTGTTAAATGTGCACTCTGTTTTTGATAATGAAACTTCAGAAAAAAACAGTGAAAGGTAATCAACAAGACTGTCACTCAGTTTTAAAGCATCTTGATGTAAAGTCACACTGTGACTTTTACACCCAAATAACATGAGCTTAAAATAGACCTGTAGGCTTATTAATAGTCTGCTACAATACAGTTTAACACTTAAGATTCAAACACCACTTGGTAAATAGAACATGGGGATTGAAGAACAAATTCTGGACAGTAACGTTATTTTTATATTTTCTTCACACAGTGCTGGAAGGTGTAACCACAATCTTACCTGACTACAAAACCACTGCACATACCCTTCACTCAAAAGCTCTAATTTAACAGGTCATTTCAAAATAATTTCAAAGCATAGGGAAATACTACACTGTAAACTTAGAATTCTCTGCTCTTGACATGCTGTATCAAGGATCTGAAAAGAGCAGTAACATTTAAGGTGGCTGAATTCCCATTACGTAAAACAAGCTGCTTTCTCCTGCTGTACCCACGACGGTATTTCTATTTGTGCAACATGGGAAGAATGGTGCTCTGTGCCTTACTGCTCTAAGATTTCAAACATAATTTCACATTAAAAGCAAACACATTCTTAGAGTATTTTCAAACTGAAATATTATGCAAGATTAACTGTTCTTCTCACATCAAGGAGTCTTTCTTTCCTCCTGTACATTGCACCAGCATATTGAAAGCCTATGTATCCAAGACATATACAGTAAACTAGGTAACATTGAAAACCTAAATTCACCAGAAGGGAAAAAAACAAAAATGCCCCTCCCCCACAGAAAGTAAAAAACCCCCAGCTTTTAGCTTAGAAACAGTGTTCTTACACAGCTGTACCACATTATCTGACAAAAAACCTATTTGCAGGTTTGCTCTAATTTAACGCATTAACACAGCTTCCCAATCTGCCTTCCTGCATTTACATACCATACATTATGCACCAAAAAAAAAAGGAATATAAAATAGCAATCCTTTCAGCCTGTCTAGCCTGTCATCAAAACCAGCAGAGAATTTTTCATTGATAAAAGCAGAGAATGGAAGAAATCAGACCAACCTTCACAACGTACGTCACACCAGGTCCCAGGATCTTCTCACTCGAGTGCAGCCATCCCCGAGAGGGTTTACTGACAAAGCTACTATTTTGATTCCAGTCTTCACCTCCCAGGTGTATTTCCTCTGACCGTGTTTTTTTCCCCATACTCATCTTGCTCACGTCCTGCTGAGAACACGAAGTGGCAGAGACAAGGTTACATGTGTTGTCTGAAGCCCCTGCTGCTGAGCCAGAAGCACTCGAGCTTCCCTGCAACTTGGAGACAGCAAGCTCCTTTACTGCAGAGGAGAGATTTTTGATACCCAAAAGGCTGCCTGTGCTAGAGAGTTTCAAGTGGGACACTTTATGGATAAGGGTGCACAGGGTGGTGGGTCCATCTTCATGGTCCTTGCGGAGAACATCTGGTGAGACCAGGTACGAAGGTGTTGTTGAAGTCGTAGAAACTGCTGAGACCTTGCTGTTCATGGACAAATTGTGAATAAGATCATCAACTGATGTCACCGAATCATTCCTGAAGCGGTTATACTTGGTACGTTGAAGCATGCCCTTTTATCTGGTTTCCTGCATATGTTCTGGCAAATCTGATGCCAACGCAGGAGATGCCTGTGCTAACATAGCAGGCGATTCATAACAACACGGACAGATATCAAGGTTGTGGGGTAAAAAAGATAAGAGTATAAGGAAGAACAAAAAAAAAAAAATAAGTATTTTTAAGAAAATTCTTATGGTTCCCCTTGAAGGTTGGGAGAAGTAACAGTTTTCTGTGACAGAGATCCCAATCCTGCTTAGAGCTGCCAACTCGCTCACAGCAAAAGCATGACTCACACAAATGAGAAGGACCCTTTTCAACAAAAGGCTCAGTGAACACTGCAAATCACTTCCTGTAGCAAAAAAAAAAAAGGGAAAAAAAAAAAAAGAAAACCATCCACCCACTTACAGCACACTAGCACCAATCAATTCTCAAATTTCCTTTTCCTACCTTCTCAAACAGATATTTCTTTCCAACCTTTAATTCCTCATCACCACAACACCCTTTTGGTACCAGAGGCAATTACCTTTAAAACTGAATTGACAACCCTGATGAAACACCACACTGTTCTTCCACCTCACATATCTGTGAATCTATAACGAAGTCACAATTAGATAGGAAATATTTAAATAGTATTTACACATATACCTCCTCCCCCCTTCCAGAACACTGACACCTTAAAGGTTTTCAGAACAGATGACAGAACTAAATGATATACACATTTTCTTCTACAAAAGGAGCCTAAGACAAGTGCCTTTGTGTCACTGCTGTCTCTCACAGAAACTGTTACATTGAATTCTTGATAGAGAATTAAATAATTCTGCCCTGTTACTCCACAACAACCTTCTATTTTAATGCAGGAATTACATAAGTACCGATGTGTGAAGAAATGTGTTTTTCTGATGTCCAACGACAGGCTTAATAGATGTTTTTTCTTTAACCACTGATATTTACTCTGAATAAAAACATTAAGAGGGTCTCCAATTCACTGGAATATGTGGTGTGATTCTGAAAAACTGAAAAAAAAAACGCTAAAAGAACAGTCAAAAGTCCAGGTAGCAGCAAACAGACATCCTGTAATGAAAAACAAAAAAATGAACCAGGTCTTATTAAGCATAAATATCAGCCACAAACACCTGATCTGAGAAGTAGGAAAACATGCAGAAAACAGGAATTTCATTTCTCTTACTTTAAAAAAAACAAACAAACAAACAAAAAAAAAACAAGATGTGTGCAGCATTGCGATACACAATGTCCATCACAAGCCCCAGTATGGCTTTCCTATATAAACTGATCTTTGCAAAACATCATTTGCATGTAGGACAATACACTGCATTATAAACAAATTGAGACTACGGAATTTGCATAGTGCAAAGCTGCTTTTTAAACAAATTACTAATTGCAGGACAATTTAAAGGAAAAATCCCATGGAATTCCTTCCCTCTCCCATGAATAAAGGCTGCAGTATACAAAGTGCAAACACAGAGAAACAGCCAGCTCAAATACAGGTATTTAATTAGTATATTCATGACATTAAATTAAGTCAGCACCTCTTATCCCAGCAGTGATGAGTAATGGCAATGTCCTAGTCAGTGCAAAAGCAGGTTTCTAGTGATCTGCAGAACAGCCTTTCATCACCACACTGCGAACCTGCTACAGCATCCACACAGCATTCATTCCTCTCTTCATCCTCCTAGCATAGCAACAGCAAATATACACATCGCAGTCTATTTTTACGTGACTCTACTGCCCAGAAAACCCTACTGGTCCCAAACAGTTCTCTTCGTTAGAAGTGGCTAGCAAAACTGAAAAATGTGAATGAGTTTCTGTGCGTGTGAATGAAAGGGCTGGCTAGCATCCCCACATTTCTGTGAATGAAGCAAGGCCTCTCAGCCTCTGCCAGGCAATCCCTTGGGTGCTCACCAGCCCAGCCAATACCAGCCGGCTCTGATGACTCATTCAGCAAAGCCTAGCTAAATAGTGGAAGATCCCATTTCCAGCACAGGCGGCACCGCTTTTGCGGCAACACTGGGAAATGCAGCTGGCGTCTTAGCAGATGAGGGTGGGTCGCAAAGCCCCCATGGAAGAGAGGGTGTTGCCAAAAAAATGCATGGGGTGTCCACAGGGGTGGCAGGTGAGGAAAACCTGGAAGCCCGGTCTGGGTTTCTCCCCGACGTGTTCATTCAGCCGGTTCATTTACATCCAGGATGGGAACATGAATGCGCACATTTCGTTTGATGTTCGATTGTTCTCCCTGTGCACCAGCAGATTCACAGATTTTACAAGTTTGCCTTCAGAGACCCCTGATGAAAGAAAAAAAAAAAAAAGGTTAAAATAAAAAAAAAAAACAAACACAAAACAAAGAAAAATAAAACCTTGCGGGGAAAAAAAAAAAAAAAAGCATATGTTTATTCTCCAAGGACCAGCTTCTGACACTGCTTCGCTGGACACAGAAACACTACCAGGACATCCAATGGGTGTTGTGCTCTCCTGGAAATCTGACATTAGACATTGCAAGGGAGTAGTAGCCACTGAATTACCTGGTGCTTGAAAACTGGTGCTTATTTCAGTGTCTGGATGGGAGCTGATCTCCTTTATAAACCCAGCCATAAACTGGAAGAATTAAATGCTTTAAAACCTTGCCTTTTATAGTTCCTGAGACTAGAAAAGGTCAGTAATTTTGCCCTACAGGCAGCAGGTTCAAATCCAACTCCAGGAAATAATGAATTAAATTAGGAAACCTTGTAATAGGCATAAACTGCAATTAAAAATAGCACCTAGTTAATTCTAGCTATTGCTGAACGTTATAATGCGTCTGACATTTCCAACAACATGCCTGTAGCTTGCACACTGACTATACCATGCAAGCCTTAAACAAGATTGTTACTACTGTTATCATAGCACAATTGAAAGCAAGACATTCAAGTCACGCTTTCTCTCTAATCTGTCTGCACCTATGCACCTATGCCAGGTCAGCTAGTAAAGTGGATCCAAGTTGAAAATAAGCTTTTTTTTTTTTTTTTCCTTTTTACAGTGATATGAGCCAGACACTGCTACCATGAGTAATAAATGGCTATGGAATAATAAGCTCATTGTTGCCTCAATAATGCAATGGCAGGTAGAAATTCAATGCTGATAAATGCAAAATAATACATAATCCTAGCAATGCATACACTATGAGAGGGTGTACACTGCCTCTGACGAAGTACAGAACTTCTTATGATCCACTGGTAGTTTTGGCATCTCTGACCATTCTGTCTTTGTTGTTTTTTTTCTCTGTTGTTTTTTCAGTTCCATTTTCTCACGGATCCTCCTCTCACCCTAATACAGTTTGTGTCTCATGCAACTATTCTTCTTTTTCACCCTCCAAGTGACTCCCAGGGGCTCATCCTGAGCTGCCACCTTTTTTCTTTCTGTATCTACCTTAACTGCCTCTGTAGCCAGTACTTCAGAAGCAAGTAAGTTTTATTGGAAGCAAAGGGAAGGGGGACAAGACTAGAGGGAGGAAAAGGGACAAACTTCTTTTTTTTTTTTTTGGGATGAGATCTAAAAGGATTTAAATTGTTGTAGGTGCAAAGGTAGGAGACATTGTTCATACACAAGGTAAACCCCGTAAGATGGTGAAACCACCATAAAGAGGAAACACAGGCAGTAAAACTGATAAGTTACACAACCTGTAGTAAGAAACTCTCCTGAATGCAAAAAAGGTGACTTTTAGTGACCCATATTTACAGAAATATGAATTGTATAATCAGAATGAGCAGAAGTATCTAGTTCCAGGAACACACTCTGGTTAACTATGTACTCTATAAAAACAAGTGCTAGAAATTGTTAAAATTCTGCTGAAAGCCTATTTGTGTTTTAACTTCCACCAGTGACAGTAAAATCGTTTGTGGACTAAACTGAATTTTTTTTAAAAATGAGCATAAGAAAGACAATGACTTTGGGAAAAAATCCAAACAGAATTTGGGTTAGCTAAGTTATAAGAAACAGTGAATATGCCAGACAAAATTTAATACAGATGCTGCTATTAGTTTTAATTGCAGCATACAAAATATAGGCATAGGGCCATCATAGTTGACATTCCTCTTTGCAACAAGCCCCAAACAATTAATGTTACTATGATGCAGCATTAAGCCGTCAGTAAATAGGATGGTATTTCTCACACTGTAATATGATGGACACAAGTGTTAATGCTCTGCTATAGTAAATCATCTTGCAGAATCCTTAAAACCACAAATGGTCAATTCCTCACATAAAAAAAAACAGTATTTTGATAGTACAAGGGTTTCTAACATCCTGTGGGGACATTTCTTCTCTTGATCAGTTAATTCAGAAGGGAAAATACTAGCCTTCCTTGCACAAACTAGATATATACCAGAAATCTCTCATCCATGTATTAATCAGCCTAATTCAGCTTTATGTAAGACAACCTCTGATGATGTAGTTACAGACAAACAAGATAAAATCAAGACAAGCTAAAAAGGATTATGATCTAACCTTCTCAAGAAGGTATGTATGTGTTTTAATAAAAAAAAGTTTCTAAATGATTTTATCTTTTCTGTTTGCACATACTTACTACATCATAGTCTGTCTTCCCCTGTGTCTCCAACTCACCTGCACGCAGACTATGTTACATGTTCATGTGATTTCATGGGAGACTCATCACATAACTGGTAGAAAGAAGGAAAGGCACTGAAGTTTCCATCAGTGTAATGAAGAGCCGTGACAATGTAGCTCTACTTCAAAACATTTTGCAGGGAAAAAAAAAAACAAAAACAAAAACCCAACAAAAAACACACAGACTGGGCTCACTCAGTTTTTTTTCCATGCTGGGTGTTTGAGTCAGACCTTGGGTTACTGTCCTACACAGAAAATGCCCCAACAACAAAAAAAAAAACAAACAATCACAGAATCATAGAATAGTTAGGGTTGGAAGGGACCTTATCATCTACTTCCAATCCCCCTGGCATGGGCAGGGACACCTCACACTAAACCATGTCACCAGGTTCTGTGCAGCCTGGCCTTGAACACGGCCAGGGATGGAGCATTCACAACCTCCCTGGACAACCCATTCTACTGCCTCACCACCCTCACAGTAAAGAACTTCTTCCTTATATCTAACCTGAGCTTCCCTTGTTTAAGTTTGAACCTGTTACCCCTTGTCCTATGGCTACAGTCCCTAATAAAGAGTCCCTCCGCAGCATCTGTGTAGGCCCCCTTCAGATACTGGAAGGCTGCTATGAGGTCTCCATGCAGCCTTCTCTTCTCCAGGCTGAACAGCCCCAACTTTCTCAGCCTGTCTTCATACAGGAGGTGCTTCAGTCCCCTGATCATCCTCATGGCCCTCCTCTGGACTTGCTCCAGCAGTTCCATAGTTCCAAAGGACTGTAGGCAAAAGCTATGGATCCCCCCTAGCAAAAAAACACAACCCCAAAAAAACTCCACAACACCAAACCAACCCCCAAAAAACCCCAAACCTAATTTTTAACAACTTCTAGTTGATTTACTTCAGAAAAAAACTCCTGTAAATTCCCTCCTTCTTCCTTTCATTCTCGCCCCTTTTCTCTCTCCCAGAGTTTTGCGGTTTCCATGGCAACCTTATTGCTAAGGGTGGGCTGTGACAGTAAATGGGAGCATTATTTGCAGCTCTGCAAGTTACTTCTCTGGAAAACTACATTGTTGGAAGTATTACTGTTGAAAATCAGTGATCATCAATCATTAATGATCAACTTCCAACTTAAGTTCCATCAGTGGAATGTAAAATTAAAGTCTGAAATAAGCCTACAGATTTCCATGTGGATGCTTCACTTTTGAGTCAGAAGCTGACCCTAAACAAGGAGGATGTTAGTTTCTGTTAGCTGAAAATACTGAAACAATTCTATCTTAAGACATTTTCACCCTGCAAAATATGACATGAAATATTTGGAAGAAAATGAAACTTGTAATTCCTTCTGCTCCATTTGTGGTTCCTGGGGGCCTATTATTAAAAGTCAACGTACTACAGAAGTTCAGATTAAAGATGGATCTCAGATAATACCTGAATCTGAACATGACACTAAGCTTTTGCAATGCTGGATCAAATAGAGGAGTGCATTAAAATCTGCAAACCAGCACTAAATCAACTTTGTAACATGGGACCTGCTCTTAAGAAAACCCACATTTTACAGCAAATTTTTCCTTTCTCTAAGCCAGTCCCAGAAATAAGAGAAATGGCAGCAGTGTAATAGGGCTTTATTTCCCAAATACAACCTAAAGCTCAGCCACGTCTGTGTGGCTGCCTGTACCTGTCACAGCCATTTGTGGACACTCTTCTTTCTCCCTGTCCCAAGCTACCCACAGCCATCTGCACCAGAAGCCAAACTCCAGAGCCAGCATATTAGCCTAAACAGGGACTCTGCTTCCCAAAGAAATATCTTCCAGTCATGTTTTCCTCTCTGTCCACAAACTACCACTTGGTTGACAAACTGTACTGTATGGTGGATACTTTAGCAAGAGGCCCATAACCTTCCCTCTGGTCCTATGATGCACTCATACTGATGGAAATGGCAGCTCTTCTGGGCATGTATGAATTAACATCCAAGGGTCTCCAAGTGTTTTTACTTTGAGCAATCTGAAAAATTGGCGACTCAGAGGAGAAAGTAAATAGCAATCAGTTCACTGACAATTACACAAGAACTCTTTCTGCTCACTCTCTCTGATGAGAAGCCAGTCATTTGTTTCTTTGTTAACCCAGTGTCTTTTTGGTTCTCATTCATGAGATGCATTTAATAATTCAGTTGTTCTCTTTTCTACTTTGTAGTAAGGTGCCTATTTTTGTTCTTGTGCTTTTTGGTAGGGTTTTTTTAATTTTTTTTTTTAATTCTGTTTATATCTTACCTTTTTTTCTGCTTATATCTTATTTTCCTAAAAATGGTTTGTGAAGTTGCTTTACAAAACAAGTGTATGAAGTTCTCAGCTTCTTGTTTATTTTAATAGGAGGGAAATTTCATCACAGCTTTTCCCAACTCAAATTGAAGTCTGGCAATTTTAACTGTTTCCGAATTTGTGTACAAGATTTCTTAGGAAACCTGATTAAAATGCAGAAAAATACCTATGAGGTTTATTTTATTAAAATAATTTATTAAAATATACCATTGGTTGCCAATCAAAAAGTATGTTTATTTTAATGGACATTTAAATTGTTTTATTAATATTTTCTTTTCTAAATAACAAAAAATTATGCATTGATTATACAGTATACATATAAATATGCGTTTGTATGTATAGAAATAAGAAGATTTATAATCTAGTACCTACCCTT